TTATTCCTATTTTTAAGCGCTTGCTTCCAGAAAAGCTTCCATGACATACAGCACACATATTTTCACGTCAAATTTTGTTCTAATATTATTCAGATAATTTAAGATTTAATTTACAATGAATGTAACTGCTCAATTTGAGTTTTTATTGGAATGAGCCATGTTATTCTATTTTTTGGTAAAATCTTACTAAAGTGTAATAATATCCCGGCAAATCAAAAATTAAACTTGCTGAAAATAAAACTGTATCAATGCCGAAAAAAAATCGCGAAATTGAACAGACGTTTTTATTTTTGTTTGTCGTGGCAAATAAAATTATTATTTTAATATTCGTGATAATTTTTAAAAATACATTGTAATCAAAATAATTTGAACGACAATAGATTGTTGTAATATTTTTTGTGTGACATATTTGGATTTACGTATAATAAAATTAATGAATTTTGTCGTGGAAAATCCGATCTTTTTTTTCAGGAAATCCACTGAGTTCTCACTATTATATTTCGATACATCTCGCATAATTCGAAACATAGCTTATGTCGGAAGCGAATGAGAAAATGTTACGAGATCGCGTGGAAGATGTATGCGCACGTCTGGTGGGTACAGTTACAAATAATTCGATCGGCCGAAATATGTTATCCGCCCGAAACCGTGGCCGTGGAGCGGACCCCGATATATTTTTCGCGGAGAAACATATTTCCGTGGACGCGCACTCGATCTGAAAGTCGACGTGGGAAGTGCTGATAATATGAAAACGGATGACATATTTTTGCATTTTACGTCGCAGTCAGTACCGGGACGCACTTACCTCGCATCGTTGTCGGAGAGAGAGTGCGCGCGCGGCACATATGGCGCGACGAATTCCGACGTCAATTTTTCTGAAAGCTCGAAAGCAGTAGATTTCACGTAACGGACTTTCATTTTAATAAACCCGCTTCATTTCCCACGTATATTTCACCGACGCATTGACAGCCGCAGGTATTACGCTCTTATTTATTTCGGGCCACTCACGTTCGCGCTATCGATCGCCATATTTTTTTTCTCTTTTTTTTTTTACAACATATGTATTAATTGTCGAAGTCGTTTTGCTCGCAAAAATAATTTCACTAACAGTTTTATCGTCACGAAAGCGACATAAACGTCAGTTTGACAGAATTTTAAACTTACGGTTTACGGTTTAATAGCGCGGGAAATAACATGGTGGTAATGGACGCAGACGGGATCAAATGAAAACGTACGATCTTTACACACGGATTAGAAATAACAGTCCACTATTGGCGATATAACATTATTTCATGAAACTTAACTGCCCCTGTGTGTGGTCATGCTGTTACATTCATCGTCGTTTCCTCAAACGCATCGCCACGATAGCGTCACGCTGTATTACATTCTTTATATATATCTACTTATCTTGTTTTTATCGATCTTTTGATATCTTACGAAACTTAAGATAGTAGCAGAATCAAACATTAAAGGCAACCCTTGCATTTTCTTCAAATTTTTCAAGTATTTTCGATAAATGAATATTTTTTTTGGTTGCAGAAATTTATTTTTTTTTTATAAATTTATTTCGAGTAGTGTAATCTAAGTGCATTTTATGATTTGTAGAATGACATATTTTTCGAATAATTGCTTAGCTGATCAGCAGACAATCGCCATATTTTAATATAAAAATAAATCTCTAAGTTTATAGCAAATTTTTCGGTAATGTATCAGTGTCGTTTAATTGAAAACAATCGAACAAAAATCAGCGCGCAACGATAAACATTTTCTATTTTCTGGGCAACTTACGCTTTTTGACTCTTGCGCTTCCGACAAACAACCACTGAATACCTGGCTGAGTATTTTACACTGTTATCTTTTTTCTTCTCATATAACCGTTTTCACGCTTACTCCCGGACAAACTTTTGTATAACTATCCTGCTCGTTGCATATTTCTTTATCAAAAACGTCGTTTCACATTGGCTAAGTAACGAGAATGCATCTAACTGAAAATATAATTGCGCTTTTTGCGAGCTACATTTCTTTGCAAAGTGTTACGTTCGAAATGACCATTTTGTTAGCTGCCACGGCGCAATTGTGTGCTTTACACTGCACACTTTTATATAAAAAAGATTTCATCTGCAGCAATGAAGGCGGTTTGTCGTTGCGTTTTTGCACTTTTGTACGAATGAAAGCGCGAGATCAAACCGTTAATAAGCGCATTGCGTTAAAACATAGTAACTCATAGCGTGGCATCGGCTAAGCCCACTGAAAATGTAAATCGCGGTGGCCGGCAAAGAGCCCGGCGAATATTTTACTTTCATTACGCCGGACCAAACTTGCTTGGCGTAATGGCATGTAACATAAATTAGCATACACCGCTATGTCCGGTAAACTTTCGACGCTTTATGTACTTTGAAGTACTTGACGCATCATATAAGCGACATAATTAGAGTCTAGACGACGCATAAAGTGCCTAATGAAAAAAATAACCGCTAGATGTACGGACAGTGAGAATGACATATTCAACCCGCTACTCCTTTCTGCGTCGTGCATATTTCCCGTCCTCCACTTCGCATATGCTTTAACGTCGCGTCAGGCTTTTGCGCATCGGACATCGCGCTCTTAAAGGGAAAATGCTGTTTCATCGCAACAACGGCTGTCGCCTCTCGAGTGCGATTACCGATCGAATTGAACGAAAAGAAAGAGTGCAATCTACATTACTAAATAACGATGGATTAATTAGATTTTATGACAAAAGGATAATTTATGTATAAGATAATTAAATAATGCAAATTAGTCGAGTAAAAGTCGAACATAATTTACGTTATTTAAAAACATTTAATACTATTACAGGTGTGCTATTTTTTTATATTTTTTAGTATTTAATATCTAACCGATCAATGTAGTTATATTAAGTCGAATCTGATTTTAGCACAGACACTCAATATCAAGCTTAAAAGATTTCGGCTATGCTTTCTAGCTTGAATTTAATCGAGCCGCATAAATTATCTTCAAGTCGTGAATTTTTTATAAAAATAATTTAAATATTAAGTTTCAAATCATTTATGCCGACAATTAATTGCAATAGGAAACCGTCTAAGTTTGACAAGAGAAAGTCAAAAAGTAAGGGAATTTTTTGATTAACAAAGTCTTTTAAGATAAACTGCAGTTTATTTTTTTTTAATGTTTCTTTGCTTTTTTATTTACTGTTGTATTTATTGAATAAATATACGTAACTTAACTTATATAAAACGTCAAAGAGAGGAGGATAGTTTATATAATTGTTAAAATTACATGATTAATGATTATATCTTGATTCATTCGTCATTAATTTTTCGATATTTTATCGACTTAAAGCTGGTCAGAGAAGACGTAGGTAGAAGTTAATTTTGTGAGGCAATCTGTATGAAAACTAGTAAATGGCCGTCGTTCTTACCTAAATGAGTATCTGTGAAACGTAGCAGAGAGATACACAAATTCGTTGCCGACATCAACGACGCGGGCACGCGCGGAAGTGCTCACTGGCGCTGCATTTGCATCTTCAAATCTGCTGTGATACCGGCCCTCCATGTACAGGCGTTGACACAATGTACAAACATTGAATTTACTCCGGGTAAGATAAGAGTACAAATACCGAGTATGTACTCGCGTCCCTGTACTTACATGCCTCTCTACGTGCCTGACATCGTGCCGAGTGTTGCGCGACGCCTGTACGATTTTCGAGCGTTACGTTGCTGCGAGATTTCGATGAATTAATTCGCACGATGGTGTCGCACGCGCAAGAGAGCTAACAAGAACTATTCGCGCACGCTAATGAGTTGAGAAATACGTTAATTTCAATATATCTTTATAAAGTCGGAGTATAATTTTATTAATGTTGTTATATATATTGCATAGTAATGATATATAATTAGTCTATTAATTTCTAAAACATCTGCACGAATTTATAATTTAATGTGATCTAAAGAATTAATATTTATTAAAAAGTTTATTTAAACTTGACTTGACACAAGCGACTTGACACAATAGAAGCGTACAAGATATTAGATTTGCTGCCCCGTTTATAAATTGCGGCGCAAATTCGCGTATCGTCTCGAACTGATTATGTAGAAGTATGTAAGAGTACGTGTCGGAGAATTTTATCAATTTTACATACACGTCGTCCCTTTCCCGTTCATAGTTCGGTGCCGCGTCACGCTACATTTAGCAATTACAGCGTGATTTGTGCCCTGCCCCTCGAACCGGAAATGAGAAACGAAGGTAGGAGACCTTCTTTCCCCCATCAATAATAACGACTATTTCCAAATATTCGCGTTCGCCCGTTTATTACGTCTATGTTGCACCGACGATTACAACGCTCGATATAACACTTACAAACGTAACGATGATAACAGAAACAATAATAGTATGTAATCATGTGGTTAAATGTTAGTAAATAAATTTACAGCTGTTCATTTTTGCATTCTGAACACTTTGAATGCTGATTGAAATTGAATATCATACATGACATGTAATGTAACAATAATAATAACGTAATCATTATCAATATATCTATTTGCAATAAAACCATGAAATATTAAGTATACAGACATATTTTGATGAATAGAATATAAGACAATTAAATCAATTAATTTTTATAATATTGTAAAGATAAATAGACTTAAATAGACTTCAAATTGTACAAAATCAATTTTGCAAAAAAAAAGATTTTAGAATTTTGTTTCATTCACCAAATAATTTTCAAAAAATTTACTTTTAATACATACAGAATCTTTCTCACATATCGATTTTTTTCAGAATGACGATCTTTGGAATGATTTTGAAATCTTTTTCTGCTATATACAATGTTGATCTTGCTACAACAATATTTTCAATCTTATAATAGACCAAGTGTATAATGATTTAGAATTACACAATTAAAATTAGCAATAAATTAAAGTAGCTTAATAGTAATATTATAATTTCTTATAAATCTGTGTTGAACGCTGTTGTAATGTAAATGTATTTATATTTTACAGATGAACCTTCGCGCTACTATCAGTGCTATCGTAGATAATATTCGTTTCCGTCGTAAAATTGTTCCGTCATATAATAGTATCATAGAATGTATCGGAAGTGCCGTTATATGCCGGGAGTGCCGTGATAGTTTCGCACGAGTACGAAACGCCGTAATCTAGCGAATCTATAGATGAACGCATTTTTGCTGTATGACAAATATTGGGACACGATTTTTTTTTACTTTAGGCTTGGCTCGGGGGAGGGAAAGGTCGGTTTCAATCATAAAATCTCGACTACGGCAGGGCAATCTTCGGTTCTACGTGCAGCGCGCTAGTTGTACAGATAGCCGGACTGTCGAAGGTAGTCGAGGACGGCTACCGGAGTTAGTCAAACGCTACCGATTGCTTTTCAGATGTCTTGTATCTAGTCGGTTGATTGAATGACTAATCGCATCTCATCTTCTTCGAGCTTACCTTTGCCCTCTGTTTTGAGAGAATCGTGCCCCAATTGGTAAATGTGGTCGTCTGAAACGCGGACGGAATTCGCGCGTAACGTCACAGCTTGGACAATTCGGTTCGATTCGCTTGTGATGTCGGGAGTGCCGTTTTAAGTACCGCGCGATTTTTACATTCGGGTACGCATGCGAGCAATGCATGCGCCGCGAACGCGTGTGATTCAATGTGAGTGCTTTGAAGGACCACTGAGAGGAGGAGGAGGCTCAGGAAGAGCATCGGGCGCCGGCGGAGCAACTTTACGGTAAACAATAATTTATTTATTTGTTCTTCGCAAAATATTGCATATAAAATATTATATAATGCAGCGGATATATAAAATATTTAAAATACTTTAAATATTTAGTAAAATATTTATAATAGTAAATTAATATTCACCATTTTTAGAAATTTTTTACACGTTATTATTTCAACTAATTAAACTTTTTTCTTTATTCAAAAAATATATTTTTGAAAATTTTAATTTTTTGTTTAGACGTGTGCATAAATAAACGAATATAAAGTTTATTGTGCGCAGTAGATATTTTATAAATATTAATTATTTCAAACACTAATTTGCATTTATTTTTATTTTACAGATCAACTTTGTGCGCGTAATCGGTGTTACAAAATATATTCGTTCCGTCGTATAGTATAACAAAATGCGCGTCGGGAGTGCCGTTAATGCCGAGAGTTATAGCGAATCTATAGATGAACGCATTTTTGCTGTATGACAAATATTGGGACACGTATTTTTTTTGACTTTAGGCTTGGCTCGGGGGGAGGGAAAGGTCGGTTTCAATCATAAAATCTCGACTACGGCAGGGCAATCTTCGGTTCTACGTGCAACGCGCTAGTTGTACAGATAGCTGGACTGTCGAAGGTAGTCGAGGACGGCTACCGGAGTTAGTCAAACGCTACCGATTGCTTTTCAGATGCTTTGTATCTAGTCGGTTGATTGAATGACTAATCGCACCTCATCTTCTTCGAGCTTACCTTTGCCCTCTGTTTTAAGAGAATCGTGCCCCAATTGGTAAATGTGGTCGTCTGAAACGCGGACGGAATTCGCGCGTAACGTCACAGCTTGGACAATTCGGTTCGATTCGCCTGTGATGTCGGGAGTGCCGTTTTAAGTACCGCGCGATTTTTACATTCGGGTACGCGCGCGAGCAATGCGCGCGTCGCGACGCGTGTGAGTGCTTGGAACAGCCACTGAGAAGAGGACGAGGCCTAGGAGGCATCGGGCGACGGCGATGCAGCGTTGTGGTAAGTAATTTATTATAAAAAATGCATTTTATAACAAATTAGCAATTTAAATAAATAAAAGATATAAACGTATGGAAGGAAAAAGGGCTAAATAATTAGTCTCGATTTCAGATAGCTATTTTACCAATTTATACTGTTATCTTGATTTTTATGAAAAACTCACGTTAAACAACGATAAAAAAATGTTATTGTACAAATTTTTAAGAATTTTGGAATTTATTTTTCTTTGGCGAGAACTTAATGAGGTCTCATTACTTATATTAAGATTGTAATTTTTTAATTTTAAGTAGTTTTATAATTAAGCTTTAAATTAATTCCTTACGACTCCACATATACATAAACGTGCAGACGTAGCGTAAATTTAAATAAGTCACATTTAATATAATATTTCAGCTTTAAAGGAGCTTAGAATAAACAATTTACTGTTTTACAGAGAGGAACAGCAACCATTTTTGGAACAACTTGTGTCAATCTCTTGGTGAGTAGCACAAATTATTTTGAAATATAGTGACGTTTAATTAAATATCGTTTAATTAAATATTTAAGATTAATATAATATATTTATATATATATATATATATATATATATATATATATATATATATATATACTACTACTACCCTTAACCTTTCCCTTACCGTTAGGTAGTACCTTCGGTATATATATATATATATATATATATATATATATATATATATATATATTTATGCGTGTGTCGTCTTATAAATACAATAAATAATAATCGAGAGATGTGGCATGATTACATAAAATTTTTTTTTTTTAATAATATTTTCAACGTACAAACATTAACATAACATTTTACAAACATTTTTGTAAAAATTTGAGTATACTGAATTGAAGTTATTTAACAGCAGTAAACAAGAAATAATACGAAAAATAAAACGAATCTAAAGAAATAAGTCTTATAGTTCATCTTTTTACATAAGAAAAGTTAAAGGTATACAAAATCTCGAAAGACTTTTTTACATAACGACAGACGATACTTGTTAGCATAAGAGCTTTTGTCACGGCGGATTACTTTCAGTCGGAATGCTTCTTCGAAATAAGCAAAAAAGAACGAAGTTTTAGTAAGCCCCGCGGGAGAAAGTCTGACGATGCTCGTGTTTGTATTACTGACAAATTTCATTCTCATTGTAACGTCCGTTGTACTGCAGCGAAGTTCGACGAAGCAGGCTTAACTGAAATTCGGATATATCGATGTTATCCTTCTTTATCTACCTTCGTCGCGAAACGTGCGCGAAATTCCGTAGAATCGATTGCCGATCATTTCTCTATCTGAGAGAAACACGCGGTATATCCATACTCTCGTCTTCTTCGTACATATATCCATGTATGAGTATGCGACGACAATATACATATGTTTTCTCGAGCTTGACGAAATTTTAGCGTTGGCGATACGTTGTCGAGTTTTAAGGGAATTTAAAATTCCGCTGACGACGCCGCATCGTCCGGATATATGTGCAAGACATATATACGTATCAGTGTGTAGTACATAGATACGTGTATACTTACGTAAACGTTTTCACTCACACTGTGGCTTGTGGAGCTTATTTCGCTGCCCGCGCTTCTGCTGGTATCTGCTCAATCAATGAGACTTGGCAGACCATTATGGGGAGGGGGTCATGAAATATTGCCAATATATATTGCGGTAGCTCTATATATTCTTTGAAAAAATAAAAGATAAAAGTTAAAAAAACCTTAACCCTCATGGGCGACTTCCGAGATTTCGAAAACGTTCTGTCGTATCGATATATTTGGAAAGTCTTTTGCAATAGATAAACAATATCGGAAGTCCTCCTCCGAATCACAGATAATAAAAGTGTCATTTATTTTTTATGTCGAGGTGTAAACGGTTTTCGAAATAGGATTTAAAGTTCTCTTAGGACTTATTATTTTAACTTTAAGAATAAAAATAGACTACAAGATTTGATTTTTTGTTTAAAGTTAATTTTACAGAATTTTTATTTGAGGATCTTAATTTTAAAAATATAAAAATTTTGATATATACATAAATGTATGTATGTATAAAAATCTAAACAATACAAAATCTATTTTACAAAATAGATTTAATAAGTTGTGTAGTACACATTTTAATATTTTATATTATAAAATATAATAT